AAGTAAAAGTAAAAAAAGTCAATCCTCATACAAGAAAAAGTCCAGGAAACCTAGAAAATCTAGTGCCAAAAATATAAGAGCATTGGGATCTGATACGTCTGATTCACAGTCAGACACAAGTGAGTTTTCTGAATATGAGGAACAATGTTCATTAATTGATGTATATGAACCAGATAATGAAAATGTACATAATGTCCAACCTAAAGGTACAAAGTCAGGTACTATAGCAGCCAAGATGTATGTGCACAAGACAAGAGAGCCAGTGATCATGCAAGTGGATTATGGTGCATCTTGCAATGTGTTGCCAGCACAATACTTACCTGCAAATGTGGTGCTGACAAAAACCAGTAAGAAGTTACGTATGTACAGCAATGATATGGTCCCTGTCTTGGGTACATGTAAATTAAGATTTAAAAATCCAAGAAATGGTAAAAGGTACTTAGTCCTTTTTATGTCATAAGTAATCAAAAGGGCTCACTACATAAACTCCCACTCCTTGGTTCAACTACAGCACAACAAATGCAACTCATCTCAGTCAATCATGAAAAAATTGCAATAGTCAACGAGTTCGAAGATGAAATGTCAAATGTCAAAGCTAATGAAAATTTATGTCAGGAATATCGGGACGTCTTCAGTGGTCGCGGTTGTATACCTGGTAATGTCACCTCTATGTGGATGAAACTGTAAGACCGCACGTAGCGCCCCCACGTCGTGTACCTTTGTCGGTGCAATCAAGGTTGAAAGCAGAATTGGAGAGACTTCAAAAGGAAGGGGTAATTGAAAAGGTAGAAGAGCCAACAGATTGGTGCTCCAGCCTTTGTTGTGTAGAAAAGAGCAACGGTAAATTGCGCTTATGTATTGACCCCCAGCCTCTCAACTGCGCACTTAAACGTAGCTACTATCCTCTGCCTGTCATAGAGGATATACTTCCTGAATTGGATGGAGTAAAAGTGTTTTCCAAAGCCGATTTGAATGAAGGCTTTCTCCAGTGTAAGCTAGATAATGAGTCTACGAAACTGATTACATTCCAGTCTCCGTGGGGCCGTTGGAAATATTTGCGAATGCCTCAAGGCATAAGTCCCGCCCACGAACTTTTTTCAGCAAAAACTGAATCAGTCACTGGATGGACTCAAAGGCGTACATATTGTCGCGGATGATGTTCTTATCACTGGATGGGGTAAAACACTTGCTGAAGCAACACAGGATCATGACAATAACTTGAAAGCGTTTCTTGAGCGTTGTCGCAAGATGAACATGGGTGTCTAGAAAACTAAGATCTAGAAAACTAAGACCAAAGATATCTTAGTTTTCTAGATCTAGAAAACTAAGATATCTTAGTTTTCTATATCTAGAAAACTAAGATTTTTAATGATGGGTTGTACCATTATATCATGAGGTATTTTGATTTTAAAGCAGTAAAATAAGGTTATACCATCTCTGAAGTGAGGTTCATTTTTTCTAATGAATTTGGAAGTACTGTAATCTAATCTTGATTTTACTGTACAGACCATTTGGCATAATTTTATTTGAATTAATGGAAATTCTACAGGTTGTATTAATTCATTAAAATGTTAAAGGGGGGGGGGGTGTGCGGGGATGAGACAAGTGGCCATATATTGCTTATTTAACCTTTCCTGAGTTCGGGAAAAATACTTAAAAAATTCAAAATGTTGAGATGTAACGATAATTACAGAAAAGATGTGTCAGGTGAAAACGAGGCTGATCACTTTTTTCAGTAGCTTGGTAGCATTTTCTAACCAACTCATTAATATTCAAGACCAGTAATTTTTGGCGAGCAGCTGATCGAAAAATCGTCCCGACGATCGAGCAACTAGCCTAGACAATACGTACGTCCAGTAGTGTGAAGTCGTGAGTTTTTGTGATCGTTTACGTACGCAGATACAGAGAGACGGTTTTGTCAACGTCAATTCAATCATGGAGGAATAATTCAATTGAATTAATAAACGTATATCAGTCCGATGACTTGTTTGTTTATAATTAGGCCTATGCCCAGGAAGCACAGTCAGTGTCTACCCAGCAGCTAAGTAGCGCACTCCTGACCGGGACACTGCTCCAGTCCCGCAGCAGGTGAGTTCGCACGCAGCCTTGTCCAGCTGACGGTAAAGTTAGTAGGTTTCTACTACTAGCCTAGACTTGTCATGCCATGGCGACTTTGTCACATTAATTGTGCTAGTGCATATTTTTTCATAATATCCTAGGCCTAGGCCTAATATGTCTAAAAACTGCACTGTCTAAATGAATACAGATCATTTCGGTCGCTCTTCGTTTCGGTAGCGGTTTGTTTTCAACAAATATATGGAACGCCAATGGAGTTTCGAAACGCTAAATTTAATATAACTAGGCCTAATTATTATTGCAAGTTCGTCAATCGGTTCATCATACTTTTTTTTATTTATGTTTTGTTGTATTTCTAATAAGTAACAACAGTCTACTTAAAAGCAAATAAAATTAATACTATTATAACTAAACTATCAATTAATATTATCGGACGGTTTTTATTTTCGTTTTGTTATGAATCCTACGCTTTCTACTACATAACAAATACAGCAAATAAAATAAATACTAAAATATGATATGATGTTACATATTATTATTATTATTATTATTATTATATTATTTTTTTTTAAATTTACATTGTATCTGGAAAAACCAGCCAATTTGTTATTTAAATTACAGTAACATCAGTTTATTAACAATTATTTTTATTAGTAATAAAGTTTGTTATTGTTACTATACTGTATAACTTGGTGCTATTTTTCATTTTTTACAGAAACAACGCAGATGTTACGAAGTTGACCGAGTTTGAGATACGTTTTTTTGGTTCTTGCTATATATATTGATATAATTTTTATTAATGCTTGAATCAAATAAAAATCTATGGAATAAGTTTAGTCAATAGATTAGTTTCGTATACGTTTTTTTTTCTTGTCTGTTACGTTTCCATTTACCATAAATGTTCTGATCATGTTATAATAATATTGTAAAGGAAATATGTATTTCCATATTTATATTTTCCATGAAAAATTATCAATACTTTGATAATTTTAAAAGCTTTTCATGCTTCTGTTATATTCATAAGCCCGAGAAAGTCACTCAACTTGCTAGGCCTATTTCTTTAGTTGCATAACTGGAGTAAAATTGTGGCAAGAAAAGTTTCCACATAATTATTTATTGCCATGGTACTCTTAAGGAGAAGATGACACAAGGTTTGTGATTTCTTGTTTGTCATATTTCCATTTTTATTACATTATTGCAAAGACAGAAGTAGGTCAGATGCTAAAATAGACGACTAGCTATTTCTAGGTACAAACACGTACACTGAAGCGCAGTTCACCACTTCACGTGTGTTCACCTACTTCATGATACCAGTAAATTCCAATAGTCTGCGCCGGCTGCTGATCATGTTTATAAAATAAAAAATAAATGGATAATAAAATATATATTTGTTATATGATTTCATGTATAATGTATATAAATATGTATAAATTTTATGTATATATATAT